TCTTGTCTTTTATTTATGTGCTGGATCACACTGATTGTTTTTCTAATGTTGTACCATCCCTGCATACCTGGTTTAAATCCCACTTGATCATAGTGAATTATTTTTTTGATATGTTGTTAAATTCTATTGGCTAGAATTTTGTTGAGGATGTTTGCATCAATGTTCATGAGGGATATTGGTCTGTAATTTCCCTTTTTTGTGGTGTCTTTACCTGGTTTTGGTATCAGGGTTATGCTGACTTCACAGAATGAGTTTGGGAGTATTCCATCCTTTTCTGTGCTCTGAAATGCCTTTAGTAGTAGTGGTGTTAACTCGTCTCTGAACGTTTGGTAGAATTCTCCAGTGAAGCCATCCTGGCCAAGGCTTTTTTGTTTTTTTTTTTTAATTGTGGTTTAGGTGAAGGTTTACAGAACAAATAGTTTCTCATTAAACAGTCAGTACACATATTGTTTTCTGACATTGGTTAACAACCCCACGACATGTCAACCCTCTCCCTTCTTGACCTCTTTTTTTTTTGGCGAAAATATATATAGCCAAAGATACGCATTTCAAAAATTTCTACATGCACAGCTCAGTGACATCGATTACAGGTTCTTCCAGTTGTGCTGCTATTCTCACCTTAGATGAAGGTTTACAGAACAAAATAGTTTCTCATTAAACAGTACACTTGTTGCCCTATGACAATGGTTAACAACCCTACTACCTGTCAACACTGTCCTTACTCAACCTTGGGTTCCCTATCACCAGCTTTCCTGTCCTCTTCTGCCTTCTAGTCCTTGTCCTTGAACTACTGTGGCTTATTAGACCTATTTTGTTTTATGGGGCTGTCCAATCCCCAGTGGAATGGTGAACCTCGGAAGTTACTTCACCACTGAGCTGAAAGGGTGTCTGGGGGCCATACTCTCAGGATTTCTCTCGTCTCTTTCAGGTGGGTAAATCTCGTCTTTTTTGTGTGTGTTAGAATTTTGTTCTACATCCTTCTCCAGCTCTGTCCAGAACTCTCTGTTGTGATCCTGGTCAGAGCTGTCAGGACTAGTAGCCGGGCACCATCTAGCTGTACTGGACTCAGTCTGGTGGAGGCCTTGGTAGCTGTGGTCCATTAGTCCTTTGGACTAATCTTCTCCTTGTATCCTGTTCTCTTCATTCTCCCTTGCTCCCGAAGGGATGAGACCATTGTAGTATCTTAGATGGCTGCTCACAGGCTTTAAGACCCCAGACGCTTCTCACCAAGGTAGAATGTAGAACATTGTCTTTATAAACTGTATTATGCCTATTGAGCTAGATGTTCCCCGAGACTGTGGTCCCCAAAGCCCTCCACCCAGCAATTCAGTCCCTCAGGGAGGTCTATGGAGCTTCCATGACCTTTCCTTGTACAACTTGTGCTGGTTTCCCCAGTACTGTGTACTGTCTCACCCTTCACCAAAGATACCATTTATCTATTGCCTATTTAGTATTTCCCTCTCATCCCTCCCATCCCTCGTAACCAACAAAGATAGTTACTTTTTGTGTGTAAAC